GCTCGTTTCGTCGATCCCTCGCCCCTCTTTCTCGGTTCCCTCCACCTCCAACGATTCTCGGGGATTCGAGAAGGCTATCTCGTCCTCGAGATACGATGGATCGTTGCTCTTCCTCTTTCGAGGATAAACCTTGGACGGTTTCTCGTTCACGCCGTTCACGGTCGAGGATACGGGTTTCGATTTGTTCGAGGCGTCCGTGGGACGATCTTTCAGCTTGATTTCACTTTCTGCCCCGTTCCGCTCGCGCGTGATCGCGGAAACGGGCTGCCCGGCCGGTATCTGGGTCGAGTTGCTCGCATTCCACGTTTCGACGGCCACGTGGGCAGCGGCGGCGGCGGCCATTCCTCTCTCGCGCCGCAGCGGGTCCACGTGGGCGGACGGGTTATCGTCGCGAAATTTATTTTCCACGGCAGGGTCCGATCCACCGGTGGTACCGTTCCCCGTTCCAATAACGTTCGAGGCGATCGTCGCCTCCGCAGGCCTCGCCTTCCTGTAGTAAACCCCGTTTTCCGCCCCTCTGAACGCGTGCTTCATCTTCGACACCTTGTTCTTCTCCACCGTCTGTCGTTCCACAGCGATGTTCATTTCCTCGTTGATCATCTCCTCCAACCTGGCCACCGGTTGCACCGTTGTCGTCGCGCCGAAATTCCTCTTCATGGAGTACCTTCTTCTGGAGTTGGCCGCGCTCGCCGTCGACTCGGCCGTATCGTTGTTATTACCCGTCCCGTTCTGTATTTCCGGTTGAATCTTCTGCCCGAAGTAGAGGAATTGCGACATGTCCTCGACCGGTATGTTACTCTCGACCGGCCTGAAATAATTGTAGAGCGACTCGGGCATAGGGACCGTGTTCTTTCCACGAGTTTCCGTGTCGGAGGATTTTTGATTGGGGACGAGGGACGAGAGAGAGGTGGTGGGCGGGGGATAGGATAACGAGCTCTTGTCGCCGATCGAGCGATCCACGTTCCCCGTTTTCCCCGTCGAACTCTGCTCAACGATTCGTTTCCCCAGTTCCTCGTCCCTCGACACGAACTCGATGTCCACGTCCCTGCTGGACGTTGCCTCGCCCCCGTCGATCCCGCCCGATGCTTCCTCGTCTCCCGGTTTGCCGGCAGCCGCGGTTACGTACATCCCATGCCTCGTCTCCTGGGCCTCGAGAACGTCGATCGACGCGTCTTTCGCGGACGCGTCGAACGGTCTCGGTGCGCGGTTCAGGTTCCGAGATTCCGAGATTGGCCGCTGGCTGAAGATCTGTCGCCTTCTCGCAGCGAGGATGCTGCGAAGCGCTTGCTCCCTCTTCGCCTTGGACGACGGCAGCTCGGCCTGCAGGGACATGCGGCCCTGACGATGATCGCCGATCGAGGACTCTGCAAGCAAAAGGCGTTCGTTCGTCAGTTTTCCGCAAAATTCTCCATATTCTGAATACTCAACGCGCGATGAATATTGATTCATCCATTAATTGTATATCGTCGATGGTTAAATTAACAAGTCGAGATATATAGTCGGTTTTTGGAAATTAAATATTCGCCGTGATCTCGAATTAATTGGCAACGAGTGAGAGAGCGGCAACCCGAGTGCAATTCCGCCTCGTTCCGCCACTATTCGTATAGGGAAAGTTCGACTACTGTAAATCCGGATTCGAGAAACAGGGAGAACGGGTAATTGTTACATGAGCCTCGTGCTCACGAATGCAAACTCTTTCTCACTTTTTTCTCCCTCCGCCTTTCTCCGATTTTCCAACCAAGATAAATCAACTACCTCTCCAAACGTCGCGCGCAGATTAAATATACCAATTCACCACACTATTATTGCCAGAAACGTACGTTTAACGTACCCATTCTCGCTCACGAAATCTAAAAAAAAAGTAAAGATTTTCATCGATCGTTGAAATAAAGTTACAATTTATCATGCGATTGATTTCGCGTTAGGCGAGGTCGAAACGATGTCCCGAAGAGGAACAGCTGCGAGACGAACGGTTCCTCGAGATCGCGGATGGCCGACTTGTTATCCTTTTTACTTTTCTCCTCGTCTCTTTTTATATCCGGCCAAGGTTCCACCGACCCTGTACCGTTACCTCACGGTTCCTTCACGCCACGATTTCTTCCTTTTCGTCACATTTCACATTCGAGAACCGTTCACGAATTCCCCGGAGCGACGATTAAAATTCGCGCGTATCAAACCCGAGATCCTCAGATCGATTTCTTTCTTCCTTCCTGAGAATAAAGTTTATCCTAAGTTTTGGATTTTAAATTTTCGTCGAATGATTTTAAGAGAAATTTTAAATAATGGATGGACAGATAGAATTGGACGATTAAAATTCGCACGTATCAACCGCGAGATCGTCAAATCTCTTTCGATTTCGTTCTTCTTTTCTGAGAATAAAATTTATCCGAAGGTTTGGATTTTAAATTTTCGTCGAACAATGCGAGAAATTGTAAATAATGGATGGACAGAGAGAATTGGACGATTAAAATTCGCGCGTATCAAACTCGAGATCCTCAGATCGATTTCTTTCTTCCTTCCTGAGAATAAAGTTTATCCTAAATTTTGGATTTTAAATTTTCGTCGAACGATTTTAAGAGAAATTTTAAATAATGGATGGACAGATAGAATTGGACGATTAAAATTCGCGCGTATCAAACTCGAGATCCTCAGATCGATTTCTTTCTTCCTTCCTGAGAATAAAGTTTATCCTAAATTTTGGATTTTAAATTTTCGTCGAACGATTTTAAGAGAAATTTTAAATAATGGATGGACAGATAGAATTGGACGATTAAAATTCGCGCGTATCAAACTCGAGATCCTCAGATCGATTTCTTTCTTCCTTTCTGGGAGCAAAATTTATCCTAAGTTTTGGATTTTAAATTTTCGTCAAACGATGCGAGTAGAAATTTTGAATAATGGATGGATAGATAGAATTTATCGAGTAAGATAAGTTTTGAGAAATGATCTAGACCTAGGGGAATTTGGTCGATCGAGTATAGGTTTTAGGTCGAGCTCGTGCTTCGTGCATGTGGACGAGCAAAGATACTTTCATCGTGAATACGGAGGCAGGAGAAGGAGAAAGGATCTGGTGAGTACCGTTAGCATCGAAGAACAGTACTCGTTTATCGTTCTTGAACTTCTGATCAGATATTGGAGAAGAGTTTTAGGAGAAAGTTGGAACGTTTCACCAATATATTTCCACCATATATTATTTAAAATCCAATCTTCAATATCTTCTACATATTATCCGCTAAATAGTTAAAAGTTACGATAACGAATAAAAGATATTTTATAAAAATAAATGAACGTAATCGAAATTAATATCTTCCATTCAATACATCCAATTGATTCCAATATCACACGCTTATTCTCCCATTTTTCAATAAATAGTGGATACTCTGATTGCCTGAAAAAGAAAATTTGTATTTCTTTTGACACCCTTTGCTCGTAAGCAAGAGAAAGTAGGACCTCGTCTTACCCTGGCCCAACTAACGGTGCAACGAAGAAAGGATTTGAAATCGAGGTCCTGGGTCAAACCGCTTTATAAAGACGGACGAACCAAGATCTCTATCTCGGCTCACGATACGACAAAGAGTGGAGAAGGAAGGGTGTGATAACATTGTAGCGGTATCTCAAGGTAATTACGTGGTACCGGTTTCCTTATAAGCGTGGAGAAATAAAAGATATCGAGGAAGAGACTCGGCACGCGGCCAATTCCAATTCCCTCGTGTGTCCATTTCTCTCTCTCCCTCTTTTTTTCCTCTTTTCTATTTTTTTCTACCGATCCATACCCTCGTTGAACAGATTTCCCTCGCTATTCCAAACAGTAAAAAACGAATTATCCTCGCACCGATTTACCTTTTAAGCGAATTAAACCTCGAAGCGAATGAAAAAAAAAAGAGAAAAAAAACCTGATTGGTTTTATCACCAATACCTTGAAAACTTTATTTATAGTAGCTAAAGGCTAATTGAAAGTTAAATAGTCGTATTCGATGCATTTCTGCCTCTGTAAGTGAGCAAATATCGTAATACATGTATCTACATCTCCAAGATACGAAGAATATTTTTTAAAAAATATCCTCAAGGATAGTTGAATGAATAAAAATTTTTCTCTCGAGGAAAAGTCTCGAAAACTTCACCTACGATATGTTACCATTACACACTTATAATCGAATTCTATTTCACCATGATAAACAAGTAACGAGTATAGAAACACGATTAATAATTATCATTCAAAAAACAAGACATAGTAGAACACGATAATAGTTAAAAGGAGGGATAATTCAGAGATGTTGGTCGTCGAATTTATTCCCAAGGTGTCACGAATCGGTTAATGCGTCCGCAATTAAATCGGGTGTCGGTAAATCAACCGATCCCTTCCGCTTCTTCCGGCAACGTTGCAAAAGGATTGGGCGATAATTTACCAGATTTTTTCCCTCCCCCTTCCTCGACGCCTACCTCGAGCGTTGGAGGCGAACGAGGAAGAATTTTATCCGCGGCCGAGAATGACCGCGTCAGCCACTTACGTCTCCATACCGCGCGAGCATAACTTACAAGCCTACGACACGTGGAAAGCAGCTTTAAACGCGGGGTACCGCTTCCGTGGTAAATCATCAGTGACGGGAAAAGGGATGCCCCTGTGCGCGGGTTAACACAGTTGTCTTACCGTTTCCACGGTGAAATGTAAATTGTGCATAAATTTCCACCTCTTATAAACATCCGACTTCTCTTTCCCCCGCGTATTAAATGTTATTATTGTTATTAAATGTTGTTATTGTCGTTGTTATCTTGCGATATATTAGAGTGAAGTATATATATATAAGCATACATGGAAGAAGTGAAACGTATAGCGTGGAATCTGAGAAGGGGTCTGAATGTTTTTGTGAATGAGATAAATGAGCAAATGAAAATTTGTTTGCTTACGTAATTCTTTTGTAATATTAATTGTAGAATGAATGTGTGGGATGAATTTGTGTTATTGTATATGAAGAAGTGACGTGTATTTGGAAATAAATCATTTGATTTTTTTGATGAGAGTTTAATTTAACTTTATGAATTTATATCAATGTAGTAATGATCATTTTGTACTTTATATTAAAATTAATTATTCTTCATTTTCTGCAAAAGAATGATAAAATGATATTAAATATTAAAAATTTAGACTTTCAATAAGATTGGAAATGGTTAAAATTGTGAAACAAGAACGATATTCAGACTCTTTGCGATCGATGTAGACCCTGTTGATCTCATATCGACGGTACTTTCATCGGAAGATATTTAAAACGTTTTCTGAGCCGCCTTTCAACTTGTCAATTGGTTGTAAGGAAAGGTTATTAAAAAATGTTTTATCGAGGCCAAGTCTGATTGACGACTCATCCGTTTGGAAAGTGCGGCAGATTGTGCCAGACGTTCGAATATTTCACGAGAGACGAGCTGCAAATCGAAAATAAGATTGTGATTATTTTAAAAACTTCATCGAGTTACAAGTCGCTATATAATTTGTCATAATTACCATTTTAATGATAATAATTTCAAGTATAAATTTATAACACGAACGAAATCAATTTTTGTCATCTACATTTTGTATTAATTTATCGTTTGTTTATAATAAAATAAAAGACGATATATAAATTTAAAAAAAAAACGACAGAAAATAATCAATACTGTTTCAAGAAAACCAAAAAATAATCAATAAATCGTTCCATTTAAACCCTATCGTACGATTACTGTTTGACAAATGTTTGTCGAGTTATAAAACACGTAAAATCCCTATATATTAAATTTAATACGATACTGGTACTCGCAAAGGGAATACATTCTTCTCGAGATTGATAAGAAAAGTAAGAAGGAACATTTGTGTTATAAGAGAGGATCTTCGTTTACTGCGTTTCTCACACGCGATGGTACATCGACATCTTCCACCCTATCGTGCGGTTAATGGACGATTCTCGTTTTGCTTCACCTCGAAAAATGACCGGTCGGACGAATGGGTGTGCACGAATCGGCCACGCGATTCCGCCATTTTCATTTCCAACGCGTTTAATTTTCGCTTTGGAAAAGGAAAAATCACGAGACTCGAAAAGTTGTTGGAAAGTAAAACGCGAAAAACGATAATATTACGAGAGTTTAGATTAAATAACGAAATTGAAAAACTCGAGCGTTTCCCAGAGAGAAGATAGCCGCTACTCTCAGCTTCTTATTTTATTACAGTTATTAATTTTAACTTGCCATCGATTCAATTTTTCACGAGCGCACAAGTATTTCTCGTCCAATTGACAAAAACTGGGCTTTCGAGTTTGATTATCGGCGCAATCAACGAAGCTGAGGTTCGTATAATCACCGACGTGGCAAAAACTTGGCTATCCTCGTTTACGAAACAGGA